GCGACAGGCCAGCAAGGAAGCTGTGTCTTCACCAGCAGAGCTACGCCAACAAGCTGCGCAGGCGCTTCATCCACGAGGAGCAGGGCGGTCGAGTCCCGAAGACGCTGGTCTCGATCGATGCCTATGCCGAGCTGACATTCGACGACGAGGAGGCGCAGGAGCGCGAGGAGGAGGAGTACCGGCAGAAGGTTGGCTCGCTGCAGTTCGCGGCGACGACGACGAGGCCGGACATCGCGTTTGCCTGCAGGAAGTTGGGGAGCGGCCTCACGGTGAGGAGCGACCAGCATTGGCACGAGGTCAACCGTTGCCTCGCCTACCTCGCTGACACCCGCGACACCGCCCTGGAATTTGGCGGTGGACCAGAGTCGTTGGAGCTGATCGGCTACATGGATGCCGACGACGCGGGCGACAAGCAGATGCGGACGAGCACGGGAGGCTACGTGTTCGTCCACTGAGGGGCCGCCGTCTCCTGGTCGAGCTCGCGCATAAAGTGCGTGACATTGTCATCGACAGAGCCCGAGTACGTGGCGGCCACGGATGCAGGCAAGGAGGGACGCCGACTTCGTTTCCTTCTTGCGGAATTCAAGCTACTCGACGCTGGGAAACCGACCATCCTCTGCGTCGACAACAAGTCGGCAATTACGGTCACTGAGGGCTTGGGGCTGACGGGCAACCTCAAGCACATGGAGCGACGCTATGCCTGGCTGCAGCACATGGTGAGGCGCGGGAAGTTTGTACTGAAGTACATCCCGACCACCGAGCAGCCGGCAGACTTCCTGACGAAGGCGCTGCATTTTCCGGCTTTCAACCGGTGTTCTGTCGCCATCGGCCAAATTCGTCTGGATGACGTCGGCGACGGCGACGATGATGTGCAATAATAGGTGCCGTGCCCTTTTGCACGGCTGGTGCGGTGACGGCGTGCTGTGTGAAGGGTGCATGCCGAGGACGAGTTTTCTCCGTAGTGTGCTGCCGTGTGAGCTGGGGGCCCAAGCGTGAGCGCGGCAGGGGAGTGTTAACGGAAGTGAAGTGTTGGCCCCACCCTCGCTTGGGCAACGCCGACGACTTGGTCGGATGTACGGGAGTAGCAGCCGACCATCCACAGTAGGAGAGCTGCTCGACAGGCTTTGTCGAGCTGCAGGGGACCGCTGTGGCATTGCTGTCGACCAAGGAGCTCGACAGCTGCAACTGACTGGTCTGGGCGACGGGTGGGACGTCGACCAGGAGGGGCAGTTCGACCGGGAGGTCGATGGAGCAGTCCGTCGACCTGAGAAGTGGGCAGCGGTCGACGAGGGGAGCTCGCCGACAACAGTTGACAGTTCTGGTCGACGGAAGGGGTCCGTCGACCAAAGGGGTAGCTCGACACGAGCTGTGTTCGACCAAAGGCACTTGGGGTTGTCCAGGTCGACCGGGTAACCTGCTCGGCGAGTTTTGCGGAAGCACGCAAACGTCGTCGAGGTCGCGATGGCGAAGGCGACTTCGGTTTGGTATCCCGAAGTCGATGTGGCTCGTCAGATGCAGACAACAGCCGACGGATGCACAACGGTGCCAGTCGGGCCAATCGTCTGCGCGCATCTGCGAGCGTGCGCACTGCTGTCTTCCACGGGGCAACGCTAGACAGCCATTCTACTGCAGTGTTGGCACACCGTCGACCTGCTGTGTTGGCGCGGCTCCTCTACGCAACGCTGGCAGGCGGTCGACCATGCTGTGCTGTCTGTCGACCAGGCTAGCTGCAGAGTTGCTAGGTGCCTGATGTAGTCATTGTTGCTATTGCTTGTTGAACAATTCTGTAATTCGAACATTGCTAGTGGAAACTCTTGCCGATTTCTCCCGTGATTGTGCAAGCACTAAGGAACTAGGCAAAGCTACTATCACTCCTAGTAGTTCGTGCCAACCTTGTAGTCTAGCTCACCACCGTTGTAGAGTGAATCTCATCAGGAACTGCATCAACGTAGGTGCCTGTGGACTTCCAGGATGCGATCTCGGCATCCATGGCTGCCTGCCACTGAGAGGAGTAAGGACCCGTAATTGCCTCTGCGTAAGAGCGCGGGGTCGGGATGTCTGGTGCATCCGGGTCTCCCTCAGGGGCAAGCAGCATGGAAGCAAAACGAGGTACAGCAGCTGCAAGACACTCAAAGTCCTCCTGCTTGTCCTCAAGGACGTCTGTGCCAAGACACACTCACCCCCAACGGACGAAGGACTGGCAGACTCAGACTCAGCAACAAGAGCAGTGGCGTAGTCTAGACGACACGCAGCAGCAAAGTCAACCAGCTCAGCAACGAGGGCAGACGCAACAATGGACTTAAAAGAAGGGTCAGTGACAACAGTGGCGAGGAGACGAGAGACAGTGGGACTGGCAGCACGAGCGAGGTCAGACTCAGGGTTAGGGACGGTAGGAAGAGAGGACTCAGGAGGAGGCGGCAGAGGAACACGCAGTGGAACAGAGGAAGGACGGAGTGCCATAGCGTGCGTGCCGGGGACAGGAGGAGGACGCGGACGAGGAACACGACGACTAGTGCGAACACAGGAGGTATGACGAGACGCAGGCTCACGACGCTCTATAAGACCGCCGGTCTGCTCAGTGTAGGGAGAAGGAGCAGGCAGTGTGGAGGCTGGCTGTAACGGCGGCTGCGAGTGGTCAGGCGGTGGACACAGTAAGGGAGGAGTAAGGCCAGAAGAAGACGGGACACCAAGAACCTGCTGAAGCAGGGGAACGAAGTAAGGTCGCGGCCGCACAGTGCCACCATCACCAGTACCACCAGACATAGCACCTCCAGCTCCAGCACCTCCAGCTCCAGGGTCAACAGCTCCAGCTCCTCCAGGTCCTGCACCTCCTGCGCCAGTGCCTCCAGCTCCAGCGCCAACAGCTCCAGCTCCTCCAGCTCCACCGCCACCAGCGCCTCCAGCTCCAGCTCCAGCTCCTCTAGCCCCAGCAGCTCCAGGCTCCATAGGGTCCCCAGCTCCAGCGCCCCCAACACTATCAGTCCCGGCAGCTCCAGTACCCCTGGTAGGAGCACCTCCAGGACCAGCAGCTGCAGCACCTCCTGTACCACTAGCTCCAGCAGTAACTCTAGCACCTCAAGCTCCTGTGTCTCCAGCGGCAGAGTCTCCAGCTCCAGCAGCTCCACTCCAAAGGCGTGTGCGCTGAGTAAACCACTCGCGCAGCTGTTGCGGGGAGAGAGGCTCCAGCCGGGGAGACAGTCGTGGCGAAACACCCGCAGGACCTCCAGAAGAAGTTGGATCCCGAGGCTCAGCACCCCCAGACTCAGCACCCCCAGGCTCCACACCCTCAGGCTCAGCACCCCTAGACTCCACACCCGCAGGCTCACCACCCGCAGGCTCAGCACCCCCAGACCCGGCACCCTCAGACTCAGCACTCCCAGGCTCCGCACCCCAAGGCTCCGCACCCCCAGACGGAGCACCTCGAGCAGCAACTGAGTCCACAGCTACCTCAAAAGGCACAGTACCAGGGAGAGGGTCTACCTGAGACAATCCTGAGGGAGCAGGACCCTGGGGGGGGAGGGGGTCTACCGGAGGGGGACCTGGAGCAAGGAAGAGCGGCGGGGGCGGGGGAGGGGCAGAGCGGTAGGGGAAGAGACGGTAAAAGGGAACCAACTCATCAAACGTGACTTCCTGAGAGGGGAAGACACGGCGCGAGGTGGGGTGGTAAAACTGCCAGCCAGGCGCATCAGGGGGGAAGCCAAGGAAGACGCAGGGAATAGCGCGGGCGGAGAGCTTGTCCGCGGACGTATCGTGAACAAAGGCACGAGAGCCCCAGAACCGGAACACCGACGCATCGCCAACCTTCCCCGTCCAACGCAGTGTCGGCGAGGTCTCCGGCAAGGAGACACGAGGCCAGAGGTTGAGTTAATGCGCAGCGTACCGGACCGCAAACGGCCACAGAAAATGGGGAGCAGCAACATGGATCATGGAGGTACGAGCGACCTCCATGACTAAGCCAATGCGGCGCTCAGCAATCCCATTTTGCTGAGGGGAGTCCAGAAGCGTGAACGACTGGAGAATGCCCTCCCCATGACAAAAGTCCCGCAAGAGGTCGGAGGAGAACTCACAACCTCTGTCAGAGTGCAGACGCAGGACAGGAAGGCCCTGGCGGAACCGCTCGCGGAGCTGGAGACGGATTGCGCGGATCCAAGGGATAAAGACATCAACGACCTGACCCTTGCTGCGTAAGGGGAAGACCGTGGTGTACCACGTGTAGTCATCAACAACCAGTAGAAAGTAGCGCTCGTGGCCCTGTCCACTGACGCGGGCTGGGCCCCACACGTCCATGTGGAGAGTCTGCAGGGGAGCAATCGTCGGGGGAAAGGAGGAGTGAGGAGCGGCGCGCTGCCGCCCCTCAACGCAAGGAAGGCAGGGCGGGGCAGGCGAGGGCGGGAGGGGAGGCAGAGACCTGGGAAGACCAGAGACAAGGAGGCGGGAGTGCATGCAACGAAGGCGTGGCAGGGAGGGGTGACCGAGGCGGTGGTGCCACAGAAGAGTCTGATGCGACAGGAGGCGACACGAGCAAGGGGGTGCTATCGGACCTGACGCGGACACCTTGGCAGACGCAGCTACCGGAGGAGGCTCAGTTGCCAGAGTGTAAAGACTCGACCCATGCCGACGTGTGAACGTGGCCAGGTGGCGGCCCGTCCGTGTACACGTGCAGATCGACACACGCTGACCCCCAGGAGTGGTGGTAGTGACCATCGCGTCCTGGAGGGCAGCGGTACTCACCAAGTTCGTAGAGAATGAGGGGAGGCGAAGGCCTGACAGTGAGCCGGACGGAACCGCCGGACACGGGAGAACAGTGGAGGAACGGGCAAGGACAGGGCCCCCGGAGGGGTCAGCCAGTTTGACCGGTATAGGTGCAGAGAGAGGACTGAGGGTGGTGCTGTCGCAAAAGAAATAGCGTGAAGCACCTGAGTCAAGTGTAAAGGAGTGCAAGGCCTTAGCAGGCGCAGTACCAAGGAGAGCAGACTCACCAGCACCTAGAGCAGCAGCCTCTATACCTGGGTCAGGCGGCACACACAGGTAACAGTCACCCTCAGCACTAACAGACAAAGCATACATAGCAGCAAGGATAGCATCATAGTCTAGGTCAAAGATAGCAACTCCAGACCTAAGCAACTCTGCCCAGCGGGGGCGCTCGGCCTCGTCACCAAGGGCCCACCAGCCCATGCCAGCTCAAGAGCATGGCTGAGAGCCCGCTCTATGATCACATCAAAAGCATCTTTGAATGTGTCATCGTTACCAGTATCCACATTCACTAGCTCATTCCAGCCTGCCCTCCGCTTATTCCCCCATAACAGCTTCTCCTCTTCCTTCTGCCCCGTGCTCTCAACCACGTCACTCTTTATCACCCTCCTCACCACCCCATCCTCCTCCCCTGTTCGTCTGTACAGCAGCCGTGGTAGCAGCTGCATGATTCTGTGCCTCATGCGAGCCACCTTATAAGGGGGAAAGGAGGAGAGAATGGCAACCAGGTCAGCAGACCCATTCAAAATGGCTTCAGCTGGAACGAAGACATAGAATGGCGTGTTGGAGGGAGAGCGGGACGAGCGAGCGTGGGATGAGGGAGAGGCCGATGAGGGCAGTGGAACAACGTCACCAGAAGCCCCGACTTCAAACCCGATCCGCTCCCCTTCATGCACCGGCAAGTGCCACGGGAACTGCCGTTGCACTGACCAATCAGAAAAGACCACGGGGATGCATCCTGCCAGCATGGCATCAAAGAGGGAGCGGCGGGTGGGGCTGTCACCCCAGGGCTGCAGGCAGAAGTGTGAGGCCAGGTGCGTGCGCATCACAATGCGCGGGTAGTCACACAGGTACACTGGGTTGGGCGCCACTGCTGCTGCCACCTCCACCCCTGCCCCCGGGCATTCCCCATGCCGCACCTGCTGCTGCTGCCCATGCCGCACCTGCTGCTGCTGCTGCTGCTGCTGCTGGTGCTGGTGGTGGTTTTTGTTATTGCTGGGTTCACCGGTTGGATCTTCGCATTGGATTGCGCAGTCCAGGAATTTGCACTGCCGCCCAGCAGCGTCGCATTCAGCCATGAGTTTGTCACGTAGTGCCGCCCCGGCCACAGCAGCGGGTTCAGCGCCGCCTCGCTGGGAGATGACGTCGCTGCGCCTGGCGCCTACAAACGAAAATAGATACCTCCGCTGCCGCCGCTGCTTCTCATGCTGCTGCTTCCGCCACTGCTTCTGATGCTGTTGTTCTTCCTCCTGCTGCTGCTCTTGCTGCTGCTGCTGTTCCCGCTGCTGTTTCTGCTGCTGGCGCTGCTGCTTCTGCTGCTGTCGCTGCTGCTTCTGCTGCTGTCGCTGCTGGTCTTGCTGTTGCTTCTCCCGCTCCCGCTGCTCGCGTTCCCGCTGCTGCTTCCGCTGCCTCTGCTGCTCTTGCTGCTGCTGGTGCTGTTGCTGCTGCTGCAAGTTGCGCAGCTGAAGAGGAGCCCTTAAATGCTTTGGACGATCAACACGAGGCGAATCAACGCTTGCAAGCCGCCGCTGTCGGTATTCCGTCCTCCCCCTCTCACCACTCTCTGCTCCCATGTCTCCCACTCCTCTCTCCTTCAATCCCCCTCTGCCGTCCTTCCTCTGCACCTCACTCCCACCACCTTTTTCCCACCGCCCCCCTCCTTCCCCTCCAAGGGCTCTCCTTTCCACCTTCCCTCGGTGCTGCAAGAAGGGCCCTGCTGATGCAGCCGTCTTCTTCCCACTGCTTGCTTTTCTCTCTCTGCTCTCCACTTCTTCCTCCTCATCCTCCTCTTCTTCTCCCTCTTCCTTGTCTCAATTGTTTCCTCCTGCTTCCTTCTCTCCTTCTCCCTCCTCCCCATCTCCCTCTTCTGCTACTTCCTCTCCCTCGCCCTCCTTTCCCTCGCCTCCCTCTCCTTCTGCCACCCCCTCCTCGCCCTGCCCTGCCCGCTTGTCACCACTGCTGCCCTCGGCCGCCTTGCCCTCCCCTGCCTGCTCCCTTGCACTGACCCGCTCCTTCACGTCCCTGTCGTCCTCTCCCTCTTCTTCCCCCATTTGCTTCACCTCATCCTCATCTTCCCCCTCCCCCTCTCCTCCTTCCTCTTCCCCCTCTTCCTTTCCTCTTTCCTCATCCGCCTCTTCCGCTCCTCCTCTCTCCTTTCCGTCCAAGCTCTCACCCACCCCATCAGCGTCTGTATCTCCCAGCACCTCCCTCTGCAGCTTCAACCATGCGTGCTTCACACCATCTTCATCCTCATCCTCCTCCTCGCCCTCCCCTTTCACCTCCTTTACTTTACTCTCTCCCTCCAAACCCCTTCTCTTCTTCTCACCCTCCCCTACCCCTTCCTCTTCATCTTCGTCTCCCGCATCCTTTTCCTCTTCCTCTTCCTCTCTCTTGTTCTTTTCCTCTTCCTCTCCCTTGTCCTTTTCCTGTTCCTCTCCCTTGTCCTTTTCCTCTTCCTCTTTCTCTTGTCTCTCTGTCTCACCCACCCCCTCATCGGTATCACCCAGCACCTGTCTCTGCAGCTTCTCCCAGACCTGCCTCACAACATCCTCCACCTCCTCCTCTTCTTTGTCCCGCTCCGTTGCTCCCTCTTCCTCGTCTCCCCTCTGCCTGTCCCTCCCTTTTTCTCCGTGCGTCGCCTCCTCCCCTGCATCTTCATCACCATCACCTCCCTCACCTCCCTCTTCCTCCACCTTCCTTTTCTCCTCTGTCCCTTTCACAGTCTCCTTTTCCTCCGCCTCCTCCAAATCCGATCCCTCCTCCTCCCCATCATTCCCCTCCTCCCCTAGTTTCTCCTCACCAATCTTCTTCCCACCTGTACTCTCCTTCTCCCCATACACTTGGTTCTTCAGCTTCTTCCAAATCTCCTCAACTTGATCCCCCTCACTGCCACCATCACCATCACCATCATCATCACCCTCCTCTTCCCCAAGCTTACGCTCCAAAGTTCTCACCACCTCCTCCACCTCTCCCCCTCTCCCTAGTCCCTCCTCACCATCCTCTTCACCTCCAACTCCCTCCTCTTTCTCTCCCACGCCCCGCTCGCCCTCCCACTCCCCTTCCTCCCACTCCACCCCCATCACCTTGCTCCTCCACTCGTCTAGCTCCCCTTTGGTCCGAGGGTGGAAGTAGCTGGGATAGGGCACACTCGTTACAGGAACACCTTCAGGGTACGCCTCTATCCCCACAATCACAGCGTTGCCTTGCCGAACCAGCCGTGGGTCCCGAAGCAGCGCCGAACCTGGCCCCGGGCAGGTCTGGTAGGGGAAGCGGAAAAACTCCATGGCAATGTGGCCGAGCAGGAGGAGGAGCGGAGGCGAGACGGACACAGCATCACCACCACCAACACCACCACTACTGCCGGAGGCAGCAGCAGTAGCGACACTGCCACTATCCCCACCCGCATCCCCATCCCCACCACCGCCACCACTACCACCACCGCCACCAGCACCACTCCCGTGAGCAGCAAAAGCAACATCCAGTGCAGCGAGGCCCAGGGCGTCGGTAACGGAGCAGTTGGGAGCGGAGGAGAGGTGGCGCTTGACATCGTAGCCGGGGTAGTAGGGCACGTACACCAGCTGTGCTGCCATGCGGTGGGGGGTGAGGCATGGGTACTGCTGCAGCCGCACGTGGAACAGCCGCTCCAGGGCGAACTGGCTGGTGGTGTACCACCCAGGGCCACCTATGTCCACCTCGTTGGTGGGTTTGTGAGGGTCTGCTAACTCAGCGGTTGAGTCTGCTGACTCAGTGCTTGTGTTTGATGAGTCAGTGGTCGTGTCTGCTGACTCAGCGCTAGAGCCTGCTGACACCGTGAGAATGTCTGATGACTCAGCGTCGGTTGCTGTTGCAAGAGTCTTCCTGCTGTGGCTGTAACTCCAACTGCCTCTGCTGCTCTCCTTCCTCCTGTCTCTTCTCCTCCGTGTACCCCATCGATCCCTGCGCTTCGTCCGGGTAAAAGAAGATGACGACGCCGGAACCTCGAAACCAGTACTGGAGCGTCTTACATCGCGTACAGGGCTGGCTGCAGCGGGGATGGGGAGCCCCATGCCATGGCAGGCGGCCAGATGCAGGTGGGCGGAGGGGGGGCAGACGTTGGGGCAGAGCGCGAGCAGGTCGTGGTTGAAACGGGCAGGCAGGTCCAGAATGAAGATGCGCCGCCCCCTGCACTCCTCCTCACCGCCCTCCGCACTGCTCATGCCTCTCCACCTGCTGCGGGATTGCTCCGTACCGTGCCCGCTGCTGCGGCTGCTGCTGCCAGTAGTGGCCGTGTGGTTGCTGTGGTGTGTGGCAGGTGAGGCACCGGTGCTGCGGCCAGACCTGATGCCTAGTCGGTCCCTTCTGCTGCTGCTCCTTGCTGGGGACTCGCTTCTTTGTCGTTTCATTTGCTGCGCATCCTGCTGCTGCTGCGAGCCAGCGTTACCCGCCTCCGCCTCTCCCTCCGCCCTGCCATGCGCGACATCAAGCGATCCATCCACCCTCGCTCCCACGCTCTCGCCTTCCCCTGAAGATGCCACTGCAGGTAGTACGCCGGCTGCCGCACTGCCTGCTATGATTGCACCTCTTTCTTCTCCCATATCTCCTGCTGCTGCTGCTACTGATGATGCGGTGGATACGGATGGCTGTGCTGGCGGCGCTAATCTCTCGTCGCCCGCCAACAGAAGAGTCTCTCGTCGCACCGCGTCGCCTCCACCGTGCGACGTGTCCTCGCCTGCTGCTACATTCTCGGGTCCACGTGGCAGGGCGCTATGGGGCAAGGAGGTGCGGTTCGCCACGAGCAGCAGCAACAAGGTCGGTATCGCGAAGAGCAACCCTAGTCGCGTGGCTCGCGAAAAGGCGAAGCTCGTCGCGGCGGTAACCATCCATCGCGTGGCACCGGAAACTCCGCGTGAGTGTGTCGGCCTGGCTCTGGGAAAGTGCCTCCTCGCGTCCATTCCTGACGTCAGTTACCATACAAACATTACTCGCTGACGTCAGACCAGAGAGTGACTCCTAGAGGGCATTGCTCGGCGTCAATGGGTTCAGGCGCCAGTCATTCGTAGGAGAATTACATAATATGCTCACGGCTCCTCATACATTCTCCGATTTGTTGGTACGGGCAGTAGCGAGATTCGCGGAGGCGCGATTGGCGGCGGGAAGAGCCATGGTGATTGGCCGTCGTCTGTCAAATCTCGTCAACCCGGTTCGTGCACGACGCAACCAGTGCTTGTTCCATAGACCACTGTGTGGTCGACCACGTAAACGTCGCAGACGTGACGAGAAGTGACGAAATCTTGCGCTGTGCAGGTCTGAGTTCGTACCACATCGTGCGGCACACGGTGGGTTTCACAAATCGCGGCCTTTTGACAGTTGGGTGACCAAAGAGGGGGCTGCTTTCCAGATAGGAAAATGTGCTGCACTTTTCGCAAACTCGAGCCTTGGGGGCTACTTTCGCAAGACAAATGGACGCATGGTTGTCCCTTCATGAAACATATTTTGAACCTCAATCCGTCGTGTGGCACAAAGATCGAGATAAGTTCGTCTCATAAACCCGAGTGGGCTGTGAGATGAGCCGCGTTTCTGAATAAAAACGACATGAAGCCACTTCAGGTGACAAACTAGACGACAACATGGTCGTGGTCTAAAAAACAAAATGCCATTTCCACCAATGCCCCCTTGTCGAGAGACATGCTCAAAATTCAAATGAAGCGGAAACTGTAGAAACTCGAAAATGGAAAACACGCTTACAAGTTTGCTTTATTTCCTGCTTACCTTTCTCTTGCCACCTCTTCTCATCTTGACAAACACATACCCTCGCCGCTTGCGAACATGGCGCTTGCTGTCGCAGCGCCCGTGCAATCCGCGTCGCCAGCAATCCTTTCCCTCGATCGTGCGACTGCAAGCCGCGCCTCGCATGTGTCGCACATCTCGCAAGTCGCCACCGCGCGCGCATTTCCGCGGGACACGCGCCTTGCGGCGCACCTCGATGCCTTCGCGCTAGCCAGCGCAGCGAGGCCGTCCGCGCGGCAGGAGTCGCACAAGCACCGCGCATGGCGCCTGCGAACCCGAGCCAGCACAGGTGAGGGTGGCAAACGCGTTTCGACGGACCAGGGTGAATCAGACGCGGCGGTCACTGGGTTTGCTTAATGCCCCGTTTAGCTCGCCGCTCGCTATCCCTTTCCGACAACGATTCATTTTCGCTCGACCCTTTTCTGCAGTGCCCTGCCTCCTTGCCTTGCGTTCGTCACCGATTCGCCCGTTCTTTCCACTTTCGCTTAAACCCTCAACCTGGTGCATCGCAGGCGACGATGCGACATCGCCGCAGGACGTACCGAAGGAAGCGAAGGAGCGAGCAGCGGCACAGGTGAGACTGTGAGGACCTTGGGATTGCCCTTTGCACCGGCGTGGTGGTGCGAACATGCGCAGTGCGCTGGGAGTGGCGGAATGCATAGTCATGGCACTGCTGCTGGCACTTGTGAGGCTGTACCGGTGGCACTGCCCCGTTCTCCACGTGGCACCGCCCCGTTCTCCACATGGCACCGCCCCGTTCTCCACGTGGCACTACCCCCTTCTCCACATGGTAACTGCCTGCAAATCACAATCCCGATCCTGCCATGGCCAATCATCATCTACTGCGTTGGCCAGGCCAGTCCGTGCCACGTGGCACATGCGGCTCACTGCGCTGCCATGCCGCGCAGTGCCGCTGTGTGCTCGGATGCTAAAAGGGTGTTGGCTCAGCGACCTGTGTGCCATGCTCTTCCTGCCTCTCTCTGTGTGTCGCATGCGAGCAGGAGAAGGCGCGCTCACTGGTGGGTGATCTGAAGGGCACCAGCATCTTCCTCGTCGGTGCGTGCCATGCTAGCAACCTCGTCACCCACCCCCTTCTTTGCCACGTCACCCACCCTCTTCTTTGCCTCGTCACCCATCCTCTTCTTTGCCTCGTCACCCACCCTCTTCTTTGCCTCGTCACCCACCCTCTTCTCTGCCACGTCCCCCTCTTCTTTGCCTCGTCACCCACCCTCTTCTTTGCCTCGTCACCCACCCTCTTCTTTGCCACGTCACCCACCCTCTTCTTTGCCTCGTCACCCACCCTCTTCTTTGCCACGTCACCCACCCTCTTCTTTGCCTCGTCACCCACCCTCTTCCTTGCCTCGTCACCCACCCTCTTCTTTGTCACGTCACCCACCCTCTTCTTTGCCTCGTCACCCACCCTCTTCTTTGCCTCGTCACCCACCCTCTTCTTTGCCTCGTCCCCCTCTTCTTTGCCTCGTCCCCCTCTTCTTTGCCTCGTCCCCCTCTTCTTTGCCTATCACCCTCTTCCGTGGCACTCCATATAGCATCGCTCCAGACCACACCTTCTTTGTCACGTCACTCCATCCATATGCCATGTCTCTTATGCACATACCACTCACTCATGCGTGCATCCCATCACCCATGCATGTGCCACGGTGCGAGCAGGCATGATGGGCAGTGGCAAGACCACCGTTGGCACAGTCCTCGCTGACCTTCTCGGCTACTGCTTCTTTGACAGGTGGGGCATCCCTCCATCCCCCCCCCCCTTCTCCCTTCCTCCCTCCCTCTCTCCCTCCCTTCCTCCCTCTCTCCTTCCCTTCCTCCCTCCTTCGTTACCATCTCCTCAACATATCGTTGTCATCTCCTTATCATCTCCTTATCATCTCCTTATCATCTCCTTATCATCTCCTTATCTTCTCTTCAACATCTCCCTGCTCCTCCCCCCCCCATGCCTTCCGTCCCCCTTTCCCCGCCACCCCTCCCTCGCATCGTCTCTCTCTCCCTCGCATCCTCCCTCTCCCGCTCGCATTCTCTCTCCGACTCAAAACTCACCTCGTTACAATGGCACACGGCACATTTTTTTAGTCGACGAAAAAGTCTCCCCTCCCTCGCATCCTCTCCTCACCCCCCCCCCCCCACAATGCTGCCCGGCAGCGACCGGGTGGTGGAGGCGGCAGCAGGGGGGGCGCCGGTGGCGCAGATCTTCACAGAAAATGGCGAGGAGGAGTTTCGAGAGATCGAGGTGCGGCGGGTGGGAGGGAGAGGGGGGACGGAGTGGGGGGAAGGGAGAGGAGGTTGCGGGGAGGGAGAGGAGGGTGGGGGAAGGGAGAGGGGGGAGGAGAGTGGGGGGAAGGGAGTGGGGAGAGGGGGGGGAGAAGGGAGAGGGGGGGAGAGATTTGGGGAAAGGGCGAGGGGGGAAGGAAGAGGGGGGAAGGGAAGGGAGTGGGATCGAGGGATTTGGGGGAAGGGCGAGTGGGGAAGGGAGATGGGGGAATGGAGGAGGGGTTGGGGGAGAGGGGGGAAGAAAGAGGGGGGAAGGGAGATGGGGGAAGGGAGAGTGGGGAAGGGAGAGGGGGGAAGGGAGAGGGGGGAAGGGAGAGGGGGGAAGGGAGGGTGGGGAAGGGAGAGGGGGGAAGGGAGAGGGGGGAAGGGAGGGTGGGGAAGGGAGAGGGGGGAAGGGAGAGGGGGAAGGGAGAGGGGGGAAGGGAGAGGGGGGAAGGGAGAGGGGGGAAGGGAGAGGGGGGAAGGGAGAGGGGGGAAGGGAGAGGGGGGAAGGGAGAGGGGGGAAGGGAGAGGGGGGAAGGGAGAGGGGGGAAGGGAGGGGGGGGAAGGGAGAGGGCGTACAGGAGGGAGAGGACCTATTCATTTTATGCCACGTAGGAGCAGGTGTGTTACGTGGTTACCAGGCGAGCCTGTGTTTGCCAGCCAGCTAAGCGAACTTGACAAGGTGGCTCTTTCCTTGATACGAAGCACACCCTGAACCTTTCTCTTAGTGGCCGAGCAGTGCAGCTTGTATCTGCAAAGCGAGTTCCCCCCGCAACGTTTCTCGCCTGTGGGACATGCTGCTGGGGTCGTCTTCTTGCCCTCCTTTGCCCCCTTCCACGTTAAAGTGCGGCCAAGCCATTGCCCATTGCCCATTGCCCATTGGCCATTGCCCATTGCCCATTGCCCATTGCCCATTGTCCATTGCCCATTGCCCATTGCCCATTGCCCATTGCCCATTGCCCATTGCCCATTGCCCATTGCCCATTGCCCATTGCCCATTGCCCATTGCCCATTGCCCATTGCCCATTGCCCATTGCCCATGGGTCCACGCCTCCACATGCACCTTGTCTTCCTCCCTCACCATCCCCCCTCCCCTCCTCTCCCCTCCCCTCCCCTCCCCTCCCCTCCCCTCCTCTCCCCTCCTCCACTCCGTCCCCTCCCATCCCGTTCCCTCCACTCCTCTTCGCGTCCCTGTCCCTCACCCCCACCCCCTGCACAGACGCGCGTGCTAGCAGAGCTTTCCTCCATGGGTCGCCTCGTCGTGGCCACGGGAGGGGGGGCTGTCACGCGCCCCGTCAACTGGTCAGTTCCATGTGCTGCCCAGTTGCTTCCAATGGCACTTGTTGCTTTGCTTCTCTTGTGCTTGCTTGCTTGCAATCCAATTGCCATTGGTGCGATTCGCTTTGCACGAAGTGAGGTGGAGTGGCATGGAGCAGATTGAGTTGATATGGACTGGAGGGGAGTGGCGCAGGCATCAGATTGAGTTGATATGGACTGGAGGGGAGTGGCGCAGGCATCAGATTGAGTTGATATGGACTGGAGGGGAGTGGCGCAGGCATCAGATTGAGTTGATATGGACTGGAGGGGAGTGGCGCAGGCATCAGATTGAGTTGATATGGACTGGAGGGGAGTGGCGCAGGCATCAGATTGAGTTGATATGGACTGGAGGGGAGTGGCGCAGGCATCAGATTGAGTTGATATGGACTGGAGGGGAGTGGCGCAGGCATCAGATTGAGTTGATATGGACTGGAGGGGAGTGGCGCAGGCATCAGATTGAGTTGATATGGACTGGAGGGGAGTGGCGCAGGCATCAGATTGAGTTGATATGGACTGGAGGGGAGTGGCGCAGGCATCAGATTGAGTTGATATGGACTGGAGGGGAGTGGCGCAGGCATCAGATTGAGTTGATATGGACTGGAGGGGAGTGGCGCAGGCATCAGATTGCACCTTCAACGGCCTCTCATCACATCCCTCGCCCCCCTTGCTTGCACCCACCAGGAGCTATCTCTCCCACTGGGTCACAGTTCACCTCAAAGTACCCATGGAGCAGCTGGTGGCGACTGTAGTCTCGTGGCTCGTCTCCTCTCTCATCCCCGCTCTCTCCTCTCCCCATGAACCCCGCAGGAGCTACCTGTCCCACGGGGTCACGGCGCACCTCCACATGCCCGAGGAGAGCACCTCACAGCCAGGGTCGGGTCGTGCCTCGTGGTAGCCTCGTGGTAGCCTCGTGAGTTCCTCTTTCATCCCTGCTCTCTCCCTCCCCATGAACCCTCACAGGAGCTACCTCTCGCACGGCATGACAGTGCACCTCCATGTGCCCGTGGAGCACGTGCCAGCGAGGTCAGGCTCCTGGCATGTGGTAGCCTCGTGGCTTCCTCTCTCATCCAAGCTCTCCCCTCTGCTCCCATGCACCCACCAGGAGCTATCTCTCTCACGGAGTCACAGTGCACCTCCATGTGCCCGTGGAGTACCTGCCAGCCAGGCCAGGCTCGTGGTTACCTCTCTCTCATCCAACCCTCCCCCCCTCCTCCCCTTGAACGAACCCACCAGGAGCTATCTGTCGCACGGGGTGACAGTGCACCTGGACGTGCCTGTGGAGTATCTGGCAGAGCGGGTCGTGGCGGTGGGCACGGCTGTGCGCCCGCTGCTCTCGCAACCCACGCAGGGGGAGGGCGAGCAGGAGCAGGCAACACATGAGAGCGATGAGTACCACAAGGTGAGCGTTCACAGCAGGGCGATGGCTTGGCAGTGGCTTTGGCGCTGAAATGGTAGAGCTCTGCTGTGCGTGCGCCCGTTGCACCCTTGGAAGTGGGGGTGGAGAGCTGCAGGCAGCGCATGAAAGCGATGAGCACAGCAAGGTGAGCGTTTCTTTCGTGGGGCTCTGCATGGCTGTGCTGGCACTGGCACTGCAACAGTGGAAGCCTGTTCACCCTGACTGTCTGAGGAGGTGGAAGCAAGGGGCCCTGCTACAGGTGAGGGGAGTAGGCATGAGCAAACGTCCGAGCCGCGGCTCGGCTCGGCTGGCTCGTCTCGTCGATTTGACGAGCCGACGATTTCGAGGATTTCGGCTCGGCACGCTCGAGTCGAGCCGGCTTGGCGAGCCAATGTCCGGCTCATCGGCTCGGCATTGCATAACGACGAGCCGGACGCTCGACGACGAGCCGCGACCCGGCTCGTCAGATCTACTTATTGACAAACTATGGGTTCTGCAATTTCGGGGTTTATTTTGTATTCGCCTTCCACAACACCAAATCTATTTTTGTGTCCACAGTCAACCACCTCCATCAGATCGCTGCATCCCCCTAATGCAGTAGACATTAGTTCCTCTTCAGCAGTTCGGGGTTAAGATGTAGTCGCGACTTAAATCCCCTTCAATGCATTAAGATCGTGATGGTAATGCATAATCATGGGGGTAGACATTGCAAAATTTGGAAAAACCGGCTCAATATTGAGATAGGTTCACATCTAAAAAGAGTCAAAATGCGGACGAGGCACGAGCCGGCTCGGCTCGTCGGCGAGCCACCTTAGGCTCGTCGGTGGTTCGCCCAGCTCGCCCTCATTTGACGAGCCTCGAGCCGGCCAATGTCCAGGCTCGGCTCGGCTCGGCTTGAGGCTAGGGGTGGCTCGTCGCTGCTCGAACCGAGCCGGATTGCTCAACAGCCGTTGTTTTCTCTCATTTCCTGCCCTTTCCCCGCACATGCTCATTCTCACCTCCCTTGCTATGCCCATTTCCCCCCCTGACCCCATTCCCAGACGTTGACACGCCTGGCTGGGCTATTAGGGGAGCGCAAAGCACTCTACAGCAATGCCGATACCACCATCTCCCTGCAAGGTGTGCTCTCTCCCCAACCTCTCCTCTCTCCAACAACCCCCACTCAACCCCCAGTCTCCCCTACCCTAACCACTTCTCTTAACCCCCTCACCCCTCCCTCCTCTCACCCCTCTGCCGTTCACCCTGCCATCCATCACTTGGCATCTGCTCCACCGCTCCACCGCTCCACTGCACACTACCCCTTTGCTTCTACCGCACACTACCCCTTTGCTTCCACCGCACACCACCCCTTTGCTTCCACCGCACACCGCCCCTTTGCTTCCACCGCACACCACCCCTTTGCTTCCACCGCACACCACCCCTTTGCTTCCACCGCACATCACCCCTTTGCTTCCACCACACACCACCCCTTTGCTTCCACCACACGCCACCCCTTCGCTTCCACCGCACACCACCCCACCCCTTGCTGGCCGTTTGTGTTGTTGATGCGTGAATCAATCCATGTGTGCCCCACCCTTCCCCCGTGCATGCTCTCCTCTGCTTTGTGTGCAGAAGTGGCGATGCGCTCTGCCTCACAAGTGGACGAGGTCACACCCACACGAATCGCTCTTGAGGTCAGTCTCTTGTTTTGGATGTACACTGCACACACACACACACACACGCACACACACACACACACGCACACACGCACACACACACACGCACACACACACACACACACAGACACGCACACACACACACACGCACACACGCACACGTGCACACGTGCACCCGCGCACGCACGCACTGCAGCCCTTCCAAAGAACACGGAATGCATTGCCTTTGGCACACTGCTTTCAACCTGGTCGGGAAGGGCTTCGCTTCACATTTGATAAGTGTCAGTATTGATACAACCACAATTAATCAACTCGTGACGTGGTTTTGAGACGTCTCAAAACGTGTATCCCTTCTTCTTTGTGAGGCCTTTGAGCGTTGCAAAAGAGCAAACACCCCAACATGCTTGTCATCCCGATGAGTGTGAGTTCACAAATCGCAAGATACAGAGTGCTTCTAGGAGGGAAGAGAGGGGATGGAGGTTGTGTAAAAACACTGCAGCAGATACCCAGTGATCATCATGTGGGCATGGTTGCTGGCTGCTGCTGGTACATGTGGCTTCACAGATTCATGTGTTAATCCTCACTGGCTTTCTGCACTGCCCACTGCATTGCTGTCCTCCTCATGTGTCTGCTGTCACATATCATGCGCCCATGCGGTGCCCTGTGCTGTGCCCCTCAGATATTGGAGCGGTTGGAGCAGATGGTGGCGGAGAGGCAGGCCAGAGACGCTGCTCTCAGAGCCAAGGCAGCCTAGTGGACAGTGCTGCTGGACACAGCCCCTGCTGAAGGCAGCTCTGCTGGGGGCAGAGCAGAGCACCACTCCTCCCACCTTCTCACGTACTTGTTGAGCACTTGCAGCTATTTGTCCAACCCATGCTGCTTGCCGCAGCTGCTAACAAGCTTCTCCCTCCCACCTTACCAACCCCTCTCAACCTCTCTCAACCAGTCTTGTTCATTCTTGAAGTTGATGTGGCCCATTTCAGCCGATCAGTTGTGCTGCACATGGTTTGAAATGTTTGGCTAGTGCCTCCAGTCACACAAGCAGCAGTCGAATTGACGTGATTGATGAGCAACCAGTTGCTCCTAAGCTGATAGGTCTGTAGATCGGGCAAGCCATCAATACCATCACATTAGCTGCATACAGAGTTGGATGATTTCATGATTAGGCCAGTGTGTTTTGCAGTAATGATTCAGTCTACACGACAACCACTCGTCGTCCATCTAGTAGACTAATCAGGAATAAGTGAACATGCAGTTCAATCATGAGTCATTGCTTGCTCAGTGTGACCGTAATGGCAACACTACCATCCCCGCACAGAACCACCACTTCATCTCTGCACCACCACTTCATCTCTCCCCTGCCACCTGCACCCAGACCCCTCTTGGCCCCTACGCCTTTCCCCCCCACTGCTCGCTGCATCCATACCGTTATCCCCTCACAACTGCCCTCCACTTTCAACCACCGTCGCATACTCATTGCGTCTCTCCCCTCCCCTCCCCACATTGCGTTCCATTGCCTAACAAAGTTGAGTCAGAACCTCACCCTTCCACTCCTCACCTGCCCTCTCCCTCCCGTCTGCTCCCTCGTTGCCTCAGCCCCTCCTCCCCATTGCTCCCCGCGCTGAAATCCCGCATAGCCACATCGCCCCCATCCTCGTCCCCCTCGCTGCGCCAGTTGGGCCGCAGTGGCCCCGGCACAGGGGCGTTGTGGGCGCTCAGGGCTGCCTCTGCCTGCTCGCCCAGGCGCCGCAGCACGGAGATGATGATGGGGCCTGCCCGCGCTGCAAGGGTGATGAGGCCAGGAACCTGTGTACAGGAAAGGGGTAGGGAGGGGAGAGTGGGAAGGGGGATGAGAGGGAAGTGAGATTCTAGGAGCTTTTAATCATGCCGCCTCTGCCTGCTTGCCCAGATGCCTAAGCACAAGATGATGGTGGGTCCTGCCTGGGTAGCAAGGGTGATGAGACCAGGAACCTGCAGGAGGTAGCGAGAAGAGGGGGGATGGAAGAGGGGTGGATGGGTGATTTTTTCACACGCATCAATCGACAAGCCTTTCAACACCCATCAAAGCACGGCAGCACCTTAGGTCACACTGCAACATGAGAAGCTGCTGAGGCATGACCTCCCAACCGGCAGTGAGAGCGACGAGAGCAAGGGGCAAAATAGAGAGAAAAAGAAGGAAACGATCTGAAGGAGGTGGGCGATGGTGGGAGGAGAGCAGAGGCTCACGAGGCCGTTGTCGAACATGCCCCCCAGGTCCAGCTGCGACATGACCTCCCGCCCGATGAAGAAGAGAAACACTCCCAGTAGCAGCAGCACGGGGTTCCTGTTGCAGGGATGCCGGGAGGAAGAGAGAGAGGGTGCAGGGAGAAGCAGCCAGAAGGGAAGGAAAGACGGGAGGGGTATGTAATGGGAAGGAGGGGGACAGGTGGAGTGATGTTGGGGAAGAACTGTCGATGCGACCAAACATGGTCACTGCAATGTTGAAGGCCTCCTTGGCCTTGTTGCAATGATAAAGGCCTCCTTGGCCTTGTTGCAATGATAAAGGCCTCCTTGGCCTTGTTGCAATGATAAAGGCTTCCTTGGCCTTGTTGCAATGATAAAGGCCTCCTTGGCCTTGTTGCAATGATAAAGGCCTCCTTGGCCTTGTTGCAATGATAAAGGCCTCCTTGGCCTTGTTGCAATGATAAAGGCCTCCTTGGCCTTGTTGCAATGATAAAGGCCTCCTTGGCCTTGTTGCAATGATAAAGGCCTCCTTGGCCTTGTTGCAATGATAAAGGCCTCCTTGGCCTTGTTGCAATGATAAAGGCCTCCTTGGCCTTGTTGCAATGATAAAGGCCTCCTTGGCCTTGTTGCAATGATAAAGGCCTCCTTGGCCTTGTTGCAATGATAAAGGCCTCCTTGGCCTTGTTGCAATGATAAAGGCCTCCTTGGCCTTGTTGCAATGATAAAGGCCTCCTTGGCCTTGTTGCAATGATAAAGGCCTCCTTGGCCTTGTTGCAATGATAAAGGCCTCCTTGGCCTTGTTGCAATGATAAAGGCCTCCTTGGCCTTGTTGCAATGATAAAGGCCTCCTTGGCCTTGTTGCAATGATAAAGGCCTCCTTGGCCTTGTTGCAATGATAAAGGCCTCCTTGGCCTTGTTGCAATGATAAAGGCCTCCTTGGCCTTGTTGCAATGATAAAGGCCTCCTTGGCCTTGTTGCAATGATAAAGGCCTCCTTGGCCTTGTTGCAATGATAAAGGCCTCCTTGGCCTTGTTGCAATGATAAAGGCCTCCTTGGCCTTGTTGCAATGATAAAGGCCTCCTTGGCCTTGTTGCAATGATAAAGGCCTCCTTGGCCTTGTTGCAATGATAAAGGCCTCCTTGGCCTTGTTGCAATGATAAAGGCCTCCTTGGCCTTGTTGCAATGATAAAGGCCTCCTTGGCCTTGTTGCAATGATAAAGGCCTCCTTGGCCTTGTTGCAATGATAAAGGCCTCCTTGGCCTTGTTGCAATGATAAAGGCCTCCTTGGCCTTGTTGCAATGATAAAGGCCTCCTTGGCCTTGTTGCAATGATAAAGGCCTCCTTGGCCTTGTTGCAATGATAAAGGCCTCCTTGGCCTTGTTGCAATGATAAAGGCCTCCTTGGCCTTGTTGCAATGATAAAGGCCTCCTTGGCCTTGTTGCAATGATAAAGGCCTCCTTGGCCTTGTTGCAATGATAAAGGCCTCCTTGGCCTTGTTGGAATGATAAAGGCCTCCTTGGCCTTGTTGCAATGATAAAGGCCTCCTTGGCCTTGTTGCAATGATAAAGGCCTCCTTGGCCTTGTTGCAATGATAAAGGCCTCCTTGGCCTTGTTGCAATGATAAAGGCCTCCTTGGCCTTGTTGCAATGATAAAGGCCTCCTTGGCCTTGTTGCAATGATAAAGGCCTCCTTGGCCTTGTTGCAATGATAAAGGCCTCCTTGGCCTTGTTGCAATGATAAAGGCCTCCTTGGCCTTGTTGCAATGATAAAGGCCTCCTTGGCCTTGTTGCAATGATAAAGGCCTCCTTGGCCTTGTTGCAATGATAAAGGCCTCCTTGGCCTTGTTGCAATGATAAAGGCCTCCTTGGCCTTGTTGCAATGATAAAGGCTTCCTTGGCCTTGTTGCAATGATAAAGGCCTCCTTGGCCTTGTTGCAATGATAAAGGCCTCCTTGGCCTTGTTGCAATGATAAAGGCCTCCTTGGCCTTGTTGCAATGATAAAGGCCTCCTTGGCCTTGTTGCAATGATAAAGGCCTCCTTGGCCTTGTTGCAATGATAAAGGCCTCCTTGGCCTTGTTGCAATGATAAAGGCCTCCTTGGCCTTGTTGCAATGATAAAGGCCTCCTTGGCCTTGTTGCAATGATAAAGGCCTCCTTGGCCTTGTTGCAATGATAAAGGCCTCCTTGGCCTTGTTGCAATGATAAAGGCCTCCTTGGCCTTGTTGCAATGATAAAGGCCTCCTTAGCCTTGTTGCAATGATAAAGGCCTCCTTGGCCTTGTTGCTTCACATGCTTCTACTGTGGCTTGCTGCCATCGAACCGGCTCCTACCAACACGCAACTGCCGATGGTCAAACACTTGTTTCGCAATGTGGCACATCAAGCATCCAGCTCAGGCCTTGTCAATGCACATTACCATGCACATTACCATGCACATTACCATGCACATTACCATGCACATTACCATGCACATTACCATGCACATTACCATGCACATTACCATGCACATTACCATGCACATTACCATGCACATTACCATGCACATTACCATGCACATTACCATGCACATTACCATGCACATTACCATGCACATTACCATGCACATTACCATGCACATTACCATGCACATTACCATGCACATTATTATGCACATTACCATGCACATTACCATGCACATTACCATGCACATTATTATGCACATTACCATGCACATTACCATGCACATTACCATGCACATTACCATGCACATTACCATGCACATTACCATGCACATTACCATGCACATTACCATGCACATTACCATGCACATTACCATGCACATTACCATGCACATTACCATGCACATTACCATGCACATTATTATGCACATTGCCATGCACATTACCATGCACATTACCATGCACATTATTATGCACATTACCATGCACATTACCATGCACATTACCATGCACATTACCATGCACATTACCATGCACATTACCATGCACATTACCATGCACATTACCATGCACATTACCATGCACATTACCATGCACATTACCATGCACATTACCATGCACATTACCATGCACATTACCATGCACATTACCATGCACATTATTATGCACATTACCATGCACATTACCATGCACATTACCATGCACATTACCATGCACATTACCATGCACATTACCATGCACATTACCATGCACATTACCATGCACATTACCATGCACATTACCATGCACATTACCATGCACATTACCATGCACATTACCATGCACATTACCATGCACATTACCATGCACATTACCATGCACATTACCATGCACATTACCATGCACATTACCATGCACATTATTATGCACATTACCATGCACATTACCATGCACATTACCATGCACATTATTATGCACATTACCATGCACATTACCATGCACATTACCATGCACATTACCATGCACATTACCATGCACATTACCATGCACATTACCATGCACATTACCATGCACATTACCATGCACATTACCATGCACATTACCATGCACATTACCATGCACATTACCATGCACATTACCATGCACATTACCATGCACATTACCATGCACATTACCATGCACATTACCATGCACATTACCATGCACATTACCATGCACATTACCATGCACATTACCATGCACATTACCATGCACATTACCATGCACATTACCATGCACATTACCATGCACATTACCATGCACATTACCATGCACATTACCATGCACATTACCATGCACATTACCATGCACATTACCATGCACATTACCATGCACATTACCATGCACATTACCATGCACATTACCATGCACATTACCATGCACATTACCATGCACATTACCATGCACATTACCATGCACATTATACCCATGCACATTACCATGCACATTACCATGCACATTACCATGCACATTACCATGCACATTACCATGCACATTACCATGCACATTACCATGCACATTACCATGCACATTACCATGCACATTACCATGCACATTACCATGCACATTACCATGCACATTACCATGCACATTACCATGCACATTACCATGCACATTACCATGCACATTACCATGCACTATTACCATGCACATTACATGCACATTACCATGCACATTACCATGCACATTACCATGCACATTACCATGCACATTACCATGCACATTACCATGCACATTACCATGCACATTACCATGCACATTACCATGCACATTACCATGCACATTACCATGCACATTACCAATGCACTTACCATGCACATTACCATGCACATTACCATGCACATTACCATGCACATTACCATGCACATACCATGCACATTACCATGCACATTACCATGCAACATTACCATGCACATTACCATGCACATTACCATGCACAATTACCATGCACATTACCATGCACATTACCATGCACATTACCATGCACATTACCATGCACATTACCATGCACATTACCATGCACATTACCATGCACATTACCATGCACATTACCATGCACATTACCATGCACATTACCATGCACATTACCATGCACAATTACCATGCACATTACCATGCCACATTACCATGCACATTACCATGCCACATTACCATGCACATTACCATGCACATTACCATGCACATTACCATGCACATTACCATGCACATTACCATGCACATTACCATGCACATTACCATGCACATTACCATGCACATTACCATGCACATTACCATGCACATTACCATGCACATTACCATGCACATTACCATGCACATTACCATGCACATTACCATGCACATTACCATGCACATTACCATGCACATTACCATGCAATGCACATTACCATGCACATTACCATGCACATTACCATGCACATTATTATGCACATTACCATGCACATTACCATGCACATTACCATGCACATTACCATGCACCATTTACCATGCACATTACCATGCACATTACCATGCACATTACCATGCACATTACCAGTGCAACATTACCATGCACATTACCATGCACATTACCATGCACATTACCATGCACATTACCCATGCACATTACCATGCACATTACATGCTATGCACATTACCATGCACATTACCATGCACATTACCATGCACATTACCATGCACATTACCATGCACATTACCATGCACATTACCATGCACATTACCATGCACATTACCATGCACATTACCATGCACATTACCATGCACATTACCATGCACATTACCATGCACATTACCATGCACATTACCATGCACATTACCATGCACATTACCATGCACATTACCATGCACATTACCATGCACATTACCATGCACATTACCATGCACATTACCATGCACATTACCATGCACATTACCATGCACATTACCATGCACATTACCATGCACATTACCATGCACATTACCATGCACATTACCATGCACATTACCATGCACATTACCATGCACATTACCATGCACATTACCATGCACATTACCATGCACATTACCATGCACATTACCATGCACATTACCATGCACATTACCATGCACATTACCATGCACATTACCATGCACATTACCATGCACATTACCATGCACATTACCATGCACATTACCATGCACATTACCATGCACACTGCAACAACGAGAAGCATTCCCACCTGAGCACAGCCATGAACTCGTTCCATCCCAGCACCACCATGGCTAGGATGGCCCATGGAGGGGGCAGCCATGTGTTGTTGCGCCGACTCGCCTCCTGTGAGGGATGGGGCACGGGAAAGGCAGGAGGAGAGACAAGGAGAAACATCAACAAATGGTGGAATGGTTGCAGCACAGACAGCCACGCGCACTCAGGATGATGGTGTGGAACCTCGCGTCCACTCGCACTCAGGCACAAGAGTACACTCCAAAGGCGCGTGTTAGTAACCAGGCAAGTGAATCATTGTAATGATTGGCAACTAGATCAGAAGGCAAGTACACGGCGCAGAGCTGAACGCTACCAGCGCCTCGCTGCACACCTGAGTCACACACCCCTGCCCCCACCATCTCTACCCCTTGTATCACAACACACCTGCGTCTGCATGGCCTGCGCCACCACGTATTGAGTCTCCGCCTTGAACTTGCCCCACAGCGCTCGGCACTGCCCGGGCGTCAGGAACGTGCAGTCAGGGGCGACCTGAAGGAGGGGGGAGGGAGCAAGGGTGGGGTGTGAGGCAAGGCGTGAGGAATGTGCATTTGGGGGCGATCTGGACAGGGAGGAGGGGGTTGGGCAGCGGTTGGCAGGAATGGTGGTGTAGTGCAGCAGTGGAGAGCAGCGGGGTGACAATGAGTGTGAGATGTGAGGAGAATGGTTTGGTTCCCCATGGTGAAGGAAACAGCAGCGTGAATGAAGACGCGAGGTGGACAGATGAGGGTGGAGGGGAGGATGGGGTGAAGGTTCCAAGATATGGGCAACGCAACCCAACAGCCTCACCCTCACTCCCATGCTCAAATCTTCTCCTCTCGTTCCCAAACCAGGCCCTCATAACCCTCCACCCCTGTAACTCCCTCACTCAGCCACCTTACCTTGACCCGCTTGCCATCAGCGAAACATTCCACTCCCCTTTCCCATCCCTCACCCATGCACCAACTCACCTTCTCCCACTTGCTAGCAGCCAGCAGCCCTGCCGACGTGAATACCCGCTGCACTCTCCTGCTCCCTGCCTTCCCCTCCCCTTCCCCTTCCCCTTTCCCTTCCCCTTCCCCTTCTACTTCCCCGTCCCCCTCCCCCGACTCCCCGTCCTGGGTCCGAGACGAGTCGCCGCCCTCCCCAGGTGCGGCCTCCCCCAGAAGAGACAAGAGAGTGGGCTCGATGGAGTCGTCTACCGTGTCCAGGCGCATCGCCGCCACCACTGCCAGCAGCCTCAGCGCCTGATGGGGGGGAGAGGGGGGAGAAAGAGGAGGCGAGAGGAAAGAAGGATGGAAGGGGGCAGGGGAAGGCGGGGAAAGGGGAGGGGAGATGCGGGAAGGCGGGGAAGAGAGAAAGGGGGTGGGAAGAGGTGAGAGGAAGAGAGGGGAAGGGAGAAAAAGGAAGGGAAAGAAGGGAGGGAAAAGGGGAGGGGAGATGCGGAGGTGGATGACGTCTGTTCGGCAAGTGCAATTCGGGGTACAGGGTTTCGGCAGCTCAGCACCCCACCCCCCCCTCCTCCTCCCCCTTTTCACCACCTTTCCCCCCCCTTCACCACATCCCCTCCTTCACCACCTCTCCCCCCCCCTTCACCATCTCTCCCCCCCTTCACCACCTCTCCCCCTCCTCACCATCTCCTCCCTCCGACCCCCCCTCACCGCCTCCCTCCCTGTGTGCCTCACCGCCTCCCTCCCTGTGTGCCTCACCGCCTCCCTCCTGTGTGCCTCACTGCCTCCCTCCCTGTGTGCCTCACTGCCTCCCTCCCTGTGTGCCTCACCGCCTCCCTCCCTGTGTGCCTCACCGCCTCCCACCCTGTGTGCCTCACCGCCTCCCTCCCTGTGTGCCTCACCGCCTTGCGAGCGTCCAAGGCAATGGCTTTGATGTCGTCCCCCTCCGTCCACTTGCGTGGCAGACCCTGGTCGTCCTGTGAGAACACCGTGAAGAACCTGTGCATTGCGAAGGCAGGGAGAGGGGTGAATGGCTGTGCTGTGTTGTTCTATTTGGGTGCCTTTCAAACGCACTTGCACGGCAAGCCCTGGTGGTCCTGAGAGAAACACCGCGAAGAACCTGTGCATTGCGAAGGCAGGGAGAGGGGTGAATGGCTGTGCTGTGTTGTTCTATTTGGGTGCCTTTAAAACGCACTTGCACGGCAAGCCCTGGTGGTCCTGAGAGAAACACCGCGAAGAACCTGTGCATTGCGAAGGCAGGGAGAGGGGTGAATGGCTGTGCTGTGTTGTTCTATTTGAGTGCCTTTAAAACACACTTGCACGGCAAGCCCTGGTGGTCCTGAGAGAAACACCGCGAAGAACCTGTGCATTGCGAAGGCAGGGAGAGGGGTGAATGGCTGTGCTGTGTTGTTCTATTTGAGTGCCTTTAAAACACACTTGCACGGCAAGCCCTGGTGGTCCTGAGAGAAACACCGCGAAGAACCTGTGCATTGCGAAGGCAGGGAGAGGGGTGAATGGCTGTGCTGTGTTGTTCTATTTGGGTGCCTTTCAAACGCACTTGCACGGCAAGCCCTGGTGGTCCTGAGAGAAACACCGCGAAGAACCTGTGCATTGCGAAGGCAGGGAGAGGGGTGAATGGCTGTGCTGTGTTGTTCTATTTGGGTGCCTTTCAAACACACTTGCAGGGCAAGCCCTGGTGGTCCTGAGAGAAACACCGCGAAGAACCTGTGCATTGCGAAGGCAGGGAGAGGGGTGAATGGCTGTGCTGTGTTGTTCAATTTGGGTGCCTTTCAAACACACTTGCACGGCAAGCCCTGGTGGTCCTGAGAGAAACACCGCGAAGAACCTGTGCATTGCGAAGGCAGGGAGAGGGGTGAATGGCTGTGCTGTGTTGTTCTATTTGGGTGCCTTTCAAACACACTTGCACGGCAAGCCCTGGTGGTCCTGAGAGAAACACCGCGAAGAACCTGTGCATTGCGAAGGCAGGGAGAGGGGTGAATGGCTGTGCTGTGTTGTTCTATTTGGGTGCCTTTCAAACACACTTGCACGGCAAGCCCTGGTGGTCCTGAGAGAAACACCGCGAAGAACCTGTGCATTGCGAAGGCAGGGAGAGGGGTGAATGGCTGTGCTGTGTTGTTCTATTTGAGTGCCTTTAAAACACACTTGCACGGCAAGCCCTGGTGGTCCTGAGAGAAACACCGCGAAGAACCTGTGCATTGCGAAGGCAGGGAGAGGGGTGAATGGCTGTGCTGTGTTGTTCTATTTGAGTGCCTTTAAAACACACTTGCACGGCAAGCCCTGGTGGTCCTGAGAGAAACACCGCGAAGAACCTGTGCATTGCGAAGGCAGGGAGAGGGGTGAATGGCTGTGCTGTATTGTTCTATTTGGGTGCCTTTCAAACGCACTTGCACGGCAAGCCCTGGTGGTCCTGAGAGAAACACCGCGAAGAACCTGTGCATTGCGAAGGCAGGGAGAGGGGTGAATGGCTGTGCTGTGTTGTTCTATTTGGGTGCCTTTCAAACACACTTGCAGGGCAAGCCCTGGTGGTCCTGAGAGAAACACCGCGAAGAACCTGTGCATTGCGAAGGCAGGGAGAGGGGTGAATGGCTGTGCTGTGTTGTTCTATTTGGGTGCCTTTCAAACACACTTGCACGGCAAGCCCTGGTGGTCCTGAGAGAAACACCGCGAAGAACCTGTGCATTGCGAAGGCAGGGAGAGGGGTGAATGGCTGTGCTGTGTTGTTCTATTTGGGTGCCTTTCAAACACACTTGCACGGCAAGCCCTGGTGGTCCTGAGAGAAACACCGCGAAGAACCTGTGCATTGCGAAGGCAGGGAGAGGGGTGAATGGCTGTGCTGTGTTGTTCTATTTGGGTGCCTTTCAAACACACTTGCAGGGCAAGCCCTGGTGGTCCTGAGAGAAACACCGCGAAGAACCTGTGCATTGCGAAGGCAGGGAGAGGGGTGAATGGCTGTGCTGTGTTGTTCTATTTGGGTGCCTTTAAAACACACTTGCACGGCAAGCCCTGGTGGTCCTGAGAGAAACACCGCGAAGAACCTGTGCATTGCGAAGGCAGGGAGAGGGGTGAATGGCTGTGCTGTATTGTTCTATTTGGGTGCCTTTCAAACGCACTTGCACGGCAAGCCCTGGTGGTCCTGAGAGAAACACCGCGAAGAACCTGTGCATTGCGAAGGCAGGGAGAGGGGTGAATGGCTGTGCTGTGTTGTTCTATTTGGGTGCCTTTCAAACACACTTGCAGGGCAAGCCCTGGTGGTCCTGAGAGAAACACCGCGAAGAACCTGTGCATTGCGAAGGCAGGGAGAGGGGTGAATGGCTGTGCTGTGTTGTTCTATTTGGGTGCCTTTCAAACACACTTGCACGGCAAGCCCTGGTGGTCCTGAGAGAAACACCGCGAAGAACCTGTGCATTGCGAAGGCAGGGAGAGGGGTGAATGGCTGTGCTGTGTTGTTCTATTTGGGTGCCTTTCAAACACACTTGCAGGGCAAGCCCTGGTGGTCCTGAGAGAAACACCGCGAAGAACCTGTGCATTGCGAAGGCAGGGAGAGGGGTGAATGGCTGTGCTGTGTTGTTCTATTTGGGTGCCTTTCAAACACACTTGCACGGCAAGCCCTGGTGGTCCTGAGAGAAACACCGCGAAGAACCTGTGCATTGCGAAGGCAGGGAGAGGGGTGAATGGCTGTGCTGTGTTGTTCTATTTGGGTGCCTTTCAAACACACTTGCAGGGCAAGCCCTGGTGGTCCTGAGAGAAACACCGCGAAGAACCTGTGCATTGCGAAGGCAGGGAGAGGGGTGAATGGCTGTGCTGTGTTGTTCTATTTGGGTGCCTTTCAAACACACTTGCACGGCAAGCCCTGGTGGTCCTGAGAGAAACACCGCGAAGAACCTGTGCATTGCGAAGGCAGGGAGAGGGGTGAATGGCTGTGCTGTGTTGTTCTATTTGGGTGCCTTTAAAACACACTTGCACGGCAAGCCCTGGTGGTCCTGAGAGGAACACCGCGAAGAACCTGTGCATTGCGAAGGCAGGGAGAGGGGTGAATGGCTGTGCTGTGTTGTTCTATTTGAGTGCCTTTAAAACACACTTGCACGGCAAGCCCTGGTGGTCCTGAGAGGAACACCGCGAAGAACCTGTGCATTGCGAAGGCAGGGAGAGGGGTGAATGGCTGTGCTGTGTTGTTCTATTTGAGTGCCTTTAAAACGCACTTGCACGGCAAGCCCTGGTGGTCCTGAGAGAAACACTGCGAAGAACCTGTGCATTGCGAAGGCAGGGAGAGGGGTGAATGGCTGTGCTGTGTTGTTCTATTTGAGTGCCTTTAAAACACACTTGCACGGCAAGCCCTGGTGGTCCTGAGAGGAACACCGCGAAGAACCTGTGCATTGCGAAGGCAGGGAGAGGGGTGAATGGCTGTGCTGTATTGTTCTATTTGGGTGCCTTTCAAACGCACTTGCACGGCAAGCCCTGGTGGTCCTGAGAGAAACACCGCGAAGAACCTGTGCATTGCGAAGGCAGGGAGAGGGGTGAATGGCTGTGCTGTGTTGTTCTATTTGGGTGCCTTTCAAACACACTTGCAGGGCAAGCCCTGGTGGTCCTGAGAGAAACACCGCGAAGAACCTGTGCATTGCGAAGGCAGGGAGAGGGGTGAATGGCTGTGCTGTGTTGTTCTATTTGGGTGCCTTTCAAACACACTTGCACGGCAAGCCCTGGTGGTCCTGAGAGAAACACCGCGAAGAACCTGTGCATTGCGAAGGCAGGGAGAGGGGTGAATGGCTGTGCTGTGTTGTTCTATTTGGGTGCCTTTCAAACACACTTGCAGGGCAAGCCCTGGTGGTCCTGAGAGAAACACCGCGAAGAACCTGTGCATTGCGAAGGCAGGGAGAGGGGTGAATGGCTGTGCTGTGTTGTTCTATTTGGGTGCCTTTAAAACACACTTGCACGGCAAGCCCTGGTGGTCCTGAGAGAAACACCGCGAAGAACCTGTGCATTGCGAAGGCAGGGAGAGGGGTGAATGGCTGTGCTGTATTGTTCTATTTGGGTGCCTTTCAAACGCACTTGCACGGCAAGCCCTGGTGGTCCTGAGAGAAACACCGCGAAGAACCTGTGCATTGCGAAGGCAGGGAGAGGGGTGAATGGCTGTGCTGTGTTGTTCTATTTGGGTGCCTTTCAAACACACTTGCAGGGCAAGCCCTGGTGGTCCTGAGAGAAACACCGCGAAGAACCTGTGCATTGCGAAGGCAGGGAGAGGGGTGAATGGCTGTGCTGTGTTGTTCTATTTGGGTGCCTTTCAAACACACTTGCACGGCAAGCCCTGGTGGTCCTGAGAGAAACACCGCGAAGAACCTGTGCATTGCGAAGGCAGGGAGAGGGGTGAATGGCTGTGCTGTGTTGTTCTATTTGGGTGCCTTTCAAACACACTTGCAGGGCAAGCCCTGGTGGTCCTGAGAGAAACACCGCGAAGAACCTGTGCATTGCGAAGGCAGGGAGAGGGGTGAATGGCTGTGCTGTGTTGTTCTATTTGGGTGCCTTTCAAACACACTTGCACGGCAAGCCCTGGTGGTCCTGAGAGAAACACCGCGAAGAACCTGTGCATTGCGAAGGCAGGGAGAGGGGTGAATGGCTGTGCTGTGTTGTTCTATTTGGGTGCCTTTCAAACACACTTGCAGGGCAAGCCCTGGTGGTCCTGAGAGAAACACCGCGAAGAACCTGTGCATTGCGAAGGCAGGGAGAGGGGTGAATGGCTGTGCTGTGTTGTTCTATTTGGGTGCCTTTCAAACACACTTGCACGGCAAGCCCTGGTGGTCCTGAGAGAAACACCGCGAAGAACCTGTGCATTGCGAAGGCAGGGAGAGGGGTGAATGGCTGTGCTGTGTTGTTCTATTTGGGTGCCTTTAAAACACACTTGCACGGCAAGCCCTGGTGGTCCTGAGAGGAACACCGCGAAGAACCTGTGCATTGCGAAGGCAGGGAGAGGGGTGAATGGCTGTGCTGTGTTGTTCTATTTGAGTGCCTTTAAAACACACTTGCACGGCAAGCCCTGGTGGTCCTGAGAGGAACACCGCGAAGAACCTGTGCATTGCGAAGGCAGGGAGAGGGGTGAATGGCTGTGCTGTGTTGTTCTATTTGAGTGCCTTTAAAACGCACTTGCACGGCAAGCCCTGGTGGTCCTGAGAGAAACACTGCGAAGAACCTGTGCATTGCGAAGGCAGGGAGAGGGGTGAATGGCTGTGCTGTGTTGTTCTATTTGAGTGCCTTTAAAACACACTTGCACGGCAAGCCCTGGTGGTCCTGAGAGGAACACCGCGAAGAACCTGTGCATTGCGAAGGCAGGGAGAGGGGTGAATGGCTGTGCTGTGTTGTTCTATTTGAGTGCCTTTAAAACACACTTGCACGGCAAGCCCTGGTGGTCCTGAGAGGAACACCGCGAAGAACCTGTGCATTGCGAAGGCAGGGAGAGGGGTGAATGGCTGTGCTGTGTTGTTCTATTTGAGTGCCTTTAAAACGCACTTGCAGGGCAAGCCCTGGTGGTCCTGAGAGAAACACCGCGAAGAACCTGCAGATTCCTTTTGAGGCGCCTCAAACACCGCGAAGAACCTGCAGATTCCAACGGCAGGGGGAGGAATGAAGTGCAAAAGGGTGGTGCAGTGTGAATTCAAGGAGCCCACAACAAAACACACAAGCGCGAGGCAGACCCTCGTGGTCCTGAAAGAACTCTGCGAAGAACCTATACATTGCATGGGCAGCACGGAGAGGAATGACGAGCGGTGCAGAGCGGTGGAGGACGAGTTGAAGGGCATAGTGGATGGAGGACATGTGTCTTGAAGACGGGAAGCAAAGACTCTCTTCTCCACACACACACACACACACACACACACACACACACACACACACAGCACCACAGAATTCAGCAACTACCCTCATCAGTCCACTCCGCCACAACCCCTCCTCACCAATCGTCACAACCAGACGTTCCCTCAACCTCGTCACTCCACTCCACTCCACTCCACTCCACTCCACTCCACTCCACTCCACTCCACTCCAGGATAGACAGCACAAGCTCACTCTTTCACCACACCCGCTGCTCCTCCATCCGCACACTCAAGAGTCCTCTCACAATCAATCAACACCACTTTCAAGTCCCAAACAGCCAAACCCAACTCCGCTTCCCCATCAATGAGCACCTGTCTTTCATGAGCGACAGCGCGTGCTGGCTCTCCCTCTTCACCCGCTCCTCCACCACCTTCCTCCCCGCCATCTCAACGGCGCCCTTCAGCCGCGTGTGCTCGTCGTCCCCCAACTGGAACCCCGCCACGGCCTGCTCCACGTCACTGCACGCGGCGTCCAGCTGGTGGAAGAACACGGCCCGGATGTCCCGCCACGTGTTGTCCGTCACTGCCTCTAGCAGCGCTGCTATGGGCTCCGAGATTGCCTCTGACAGGGACGCCTGGGGAGGAGAGGAGGGGGCGGAGGGTGGGTGGGAGGCAAGAGATGGGAAGCGAGAGGTACGGAGCAAGAGGAGCCGTCAAGCGCGGCTGCTCCTCGTCCTCCGCCAGGAGAAACTGCTCGGATATCCTGCCACGTGTTCTCTGTGATGGCTTCTCGTTCTGCCGCTATGGGCTCCAATATGTCGTCTGCTAGGGACGCCTGCGGGCGGCAAGAAGGGGGATGCAAGAGGAGGAAGAAAGTGGTGGGAGCGGGGAGTAGGATGGAGGGTTGGGGGCTCTTGAGCGAAATGAACTGAATCTCGGGCAACCATATCCCCCTCTTCATCATGCCAAAAGCCTAACCCTCACAACATCCTCTGGAAACACACGACCCGTCCAGTCAGACACACACCACCTACCCAACCAAACCAAAGCAGTGTTGCTGGGGGCACAGGAACACACACCTCTGCATCCGTGACAATCTGTTTGAGCTTCTGCGATCGCAGCGACGCCACGTGGGACTCCATATCAGCCATGAGCTTCGCCGTCACGTCCTCCACCAACCAATTGAACAGCGCCACGTCAGCGTCTGGAATCATGGGGCAGTCACAGAAGCAGCGACTCAAGTAAATTTCAGCACAACAGCAGGCCTCGGTTGTCGCCTTCCTCAGCAGCCAAGTCGGGGATTGGAGGTCGCCAGAAGAATCGAATGCGAGCGTGGAATGTGCATGCAGTGAGGAGGAGCAGCACCGGCATGGCAAGCTAGCGCCGCGTTCCCATTGGGACACAACACAACACAGCACTCACCCTCAACATCGGAGTCAAAGGAGACAGCAGCAGCCTGCAGGCAGGCAGCAGAGCAGTTGGCAAAGGAGGCAGCGCTGCCCTCTCGCCCCCCTGTGGCGTCGTCCAGGTCCTTCTTGAAGGAATCGAAGCAGCGAGCAGCTGCCGCCGCCACCACTGCCGTGTGCACTGGGCGGATGAGCTGATTGGAGGTGGCGGGCCAGAGGGTGCGGACAGGGAAGGGATGAAGAGGTTAGGAAGACAGAAGAGAGACGTGGGTTGGTCCCCTTTGCAGCCCCCCTGTGGCATCGTCCAGGTCCTTCTTGAAGGAGTCGAAGCAGCGAGCTGCTGCCGCCGCCACCACTGCCGTGTGCACTGGGCGGATGAGCTGATTGGAGGGGGGAGACGGCTGGGGTTGGGGAGAGAACAGGAGAGGTGCGGCATGGGAACACAGGTGTGAGGAGTAAGGGGGAGCATGAGGTAGAAAGGGTGCCGGCAATGCAGCTAGCATTAAAAGGTCGAGGGAGATGGCAGCATGAGAGCTTGGGGGAAACAAACCCATTGGAAAGAAAGAGGATAAGAAAAAGAGAACGAGATTTAGGGTTTCGAGAGAAACAGAAACCAACGGGAGCAGTTCCAAGTATCCCAAGCCCACCGCACGTGGAAATTCAAGCCTCTCTTTCCCTCTGCCTGCCTCCTTTACCCCTTGGAGAACTCATGGCGCTCATGCCCCCTTGCAGCACTCACGGCGCTCATGCCTTTGAGCAGGAACTGGCGCTTGCTGTCCCTCACTCCCTCCTCGAAGTATGCCGCCTCCGCATCGTACCTGGGAAACAGTGCAGGGGGGGAACACGGGAAGCAGTAGAGGAGAGGCAGCAAAGAAAGACTGAGCAGAGGGGAAGAGGGAGTGCGGAAGGAGTATACACGCGGCATGCCCATCACGCCCTCCTCCAAGTATGTTGCCTTCGCATCACAGCTGGGAAGCAGTGCAGGGGGGAGACACAGGAAGCAGTGGAGGAGAGGCAGCACACGAGAGGGAATGAGGAAAGGGTGAACATGCATGGGGCATGCCCCTTTCTCTGCGCCCTAGCTGAGAGGAAGGTGAGAGTGGTGATGGGAGCGTGAAAAGATGGCATTCTCGAGTCGCCCCTGCTGCCTCGTCGTTGCCAGTGAACAAAAGCAGAGGAACAGAAGCAGCGGAAGGGAAGCAGAAGGGATAGTAGACAAGCTGAGGAAGAAGAAAGGAAAGGAAAAGACAGTGCGGAAAGAGAGAAAGAAAGAACGTCAATTCCAACCGAAGGAATGCCGTGCCATGGCTTGTCATGCTACGCCATGCCCCCCTCATGAAGCAGTATTTATGCCACGACCCCCACTCTCATGCCGTACAACAACATCATGCCGTCCCACATTAAGCCATGCTATGCCGTCCCATATTAAGCTATGCTATGCCATATCATATTAAGCCATGCTATGCCATACCATATTAAGCCATGCTATGCCATACCAAGCCAAGCCATGTGACTCACGTGGCGAGAGCACTAGCTGCGAGCTCATTCGCCCGCCCACCGAAGTGCTCCGCCTCTTTGCCCGCCTCCACTGCTGCCTGTAGCTCCACCCACTCCTGATGCCCGGGAGAGAGGGCGGGGGGGGTTGGAGAGAGGAGAGGTGAGGTGAGGAGAAAGCACAGAGATGGGGGTTGGAATGGAAGGGGTACCAATTTCTGCTAAAGTAGGCGGTAGGTAGGCAGAATACACGCAAGGGGGGTTTCGATAGTGGACATTAGGAATACCAGTCAGGAAAGGCAAGTGGAAGAAACGACGCCAGGCAAAATGCGCATCACATCACCTGTGCATCGCTGCACCGCACCTCACCTCACCTCGCTCTCCTGCAGCTGGGCTCACCTCGCTCTCCTGCAGCTGGGTGAGCTTCTCCGCTGCAATCTGCTCGCAACGCACCGTCGCCACCATCACCTGGTGGGGTGGAGAGGGGTGGAGTGGGAAGGAGGGGTGGGAGAGACGGTGGGGGGGGGAGACAAGGTGGGGAGGGGGAAGGGGGAGGACAGGGGGATAAGCAAGCATCGGCTTTGTGGCGATCTGGTCACGGGACACTAGTGTCACCATCTCTTGTTAGGGTGGGGTGGTGGTAGGGGGAAAAGCAGAGTGGATGGTACAACGAGGGTGGTGCAAGAACACTCGCATGGAGACAGCAACCAAAAGGCCCCACTCGTTCACAGTCCTTCATCCCCACACATGGGACAATCCCCCGAGAAATCACATCCCCACACATGGCTCACAAGCATGCATAGAGCCACACAGTACACCTTATGAGCACGCAGGTCAACGTCCTTGCTCTCGAGAATCGAATCACTCGACACATCTTCGCCACACTCCTTCCCTCTCACAAATCATCCACAACGGGACATTCGCCATTTCTTCCCACACAATCTCGCATACGCCCACACAAGCACAGACAGAGCCCCGCAGCACACCTTGTGGGCGGGCAGGTCGAGGTCCTTGTTCTCGCGGATCACGCGCCACATCTCCGCCACGCTCAACGGGAACCCCGATGCCGGCACCACCCCCCGCCGGTCCCCCGCCAGCCGCCCCTCCGCCACCGAGTCTTGAAACCGCTCCCTCAGCCGTGCTACCTGCACAGGGGGGTAGGTTAGGGGTGGGGGAGTTGGGTTGGAGGCAGTGGGAGCTTGGGTTGGAGGCAGTGGGAGCTTGGGTTGGAGGCAGTGGGAGCTTGAGTTGGAGGCAGTGGGAGCTTGGGTTGGAGGCAGTGGGAGCTTGAGTTGGAGGCAGTGGGAGCTTGGGTTGGAGGCAGTGGGAGCTTGCGGGTTCAACGGGGTCTCTAGAAATTTGAGCCCCGCCAGCCGCCCCTCCACCACCGAATCCTGAAACCGCTCCCTAAGCCACGCCACCTAAGGAGAAAAAAAAAGGAGGGAGTTGGGGATTTTGGAAAGTGGGCGAAATCAATGAGAGAAGTAGGGGGCTGAGCCCCGGCATGCGGGCATCAATGGTTGAGCCCCACAAGTCCCACGAGTCCCACGAAAGTGGGTTGAGCCCCAACAGTCTCCTTCAAGTTCCCCGCCATCCGCCCCTCCACCACCGAGTCCTGAACCTGCGGTGGAGGGCGGGGTTGGGTCGGGGCGGAGCGGAGCGGGGTCAGGGCGTCCGATTAGGCAGCAAAGCAGGACTAGTTTGAGTGGAAGGGCGAAAGGAGATTTGGAAGGTGGGGAGAGGAGAAGACTGTACCGTTGCAACGGCACAGGCTGCACACCTGGCTCTTGAAGTCCTCCTCTCTCTCCTCAAAGTTGGGGAGAGCTGTGACCTCCACCTGTTACACACGTATGCATGCACATGCCATGCCCATCCCATGCCCATGCCCATGCCCATGCCCATGCCCATGCCCATGCCCATGCCCATGCCCATGCCCATGCACAATCGCATGCACATGCATAAGGACACACATGCACATGCGCGCACACACACACGAAGAGGCCGGATGTGGATGGGGGCTAGGTAGCTACATCGAGGATATGAGCGAAGGGCAGGAGAGATGGAAGGGGAGAACGAACGAGACGAGGGAACGGAGGAAAGAGGGGCAGAGGGAAGAAAGCAACAAGGGAAGGGGAAGGGGAGGCCGGGGGGGGGGGGGGGGAGGGGGGGGGGGGGGGACGAATGAAACGAAGGAATCAGCTGAAAGTTACATACGCAGCGTGTGTTCGAGGATTTTGCAGACTGTTGTTGAGAGTTCTCAAACACAGACCGTGAAATCAAGGAACGTTGGAAGCAGCTGAAAGTCACACACATATGAGAAGTCAACAGAGGGTGTGCTCAATGATTCTGTGGGCTGATTCTAAACTTCTTGGAAACAGCACGCAGAATCAATCAACGCCGGAAGGAAGCAGCTGTTAAGAGCATACGTTGAAGAAGTCAGCAAAGGGTGTGTCCTGATGCTTCTGCGGCTTGGGTACGCTCTGCCATATCTGCAGCCGACAGACAAGTGAGTAGCAGAGACGCAGAGGCGAGAAGGCAGGAGGAAGAAATGAGAGACACATGATGCAGAGAAGTCATGCGGCTGGAGACAACACAACGGCCAGCCTGCAAGGTGACTTTTGAGTCGACTCAAAAGTCACAACGGCCAGCCTGCAATGAACCAACGCGGTAAACGATTTGATTGGATACTATCCAATAATATGCACCTAATCCAATCGGGTGGATGGAGAAAAGCATCAACGTTTCCAGCAAGCCCTTTTCTTGACAAGGCCCAACCCAACCCATGGGCGGCGCACCTTTTGAATGTCCTCCCTCAAGATGGGCTCGAGTGTCTCCATTGGGGTCTGCCACGCCATGCCATGGCGCGCAGGCACACAGGCAGCACACACAGAGGTGGGTGGGATGTGGGATGACAGGGGGCACACAGGCACGCAGCACACAGAGATGAAATGGGATGAAACAGGTGATACTAGCATGGATGGATTGCAACAGTGAGCAGGAAGAGTGGGTGGGTGCAGCAGTGCAGCGTGCGAGGCACCTTGGTCTTGTCGCGGATGACGAAGAGCAGCGTGGCCTTGCGCGGCGAGAAGAGGCGCATCATCACCTGCCTCACCACGGGGAGGGACGGGGGAGGAGGAGTGGGAGGGTTGTTGCTCAGTATGAGATGAGACACGAGACGTCTCAACGTTTGAATGGGACACACTCCACACACAGCTGAAAGTTAGAAGCAGGGAGGCTTGCCGCAGAAAGTCTAAGATGTGCATACAGCACAGCACAGCACAGCACAGCACAGCACACCACACCACACCACACCACACCACACCACACACGCAGGGCGCACCTGAAAGACAGTTTTCAGCAATGGCTTGTTGGAGGCTTGCTCTCGACCAATGTCGTGGCACCACCTGGCATGACACGACAGGACAGCGCCGCACAGGGCAACGTAATGGATGGTCATGCAGGACAATAAGGTGAGGCAGTTGCAGTTGCAGTTGCAGTTGCAGTTGCAGTTGCAGTTGCAGTTGCAGTTGCACTTTGAAGTGCAAAACAAGTGGTGATAGACGAGGGTATGCGAGGAGAGGCGACGGATGGATGCACATGCTTGCAATACCATGATGTGCGGCATAAGTGGAAGAAACAAAGGGAAAATAGTAGGCCACAGGGACATCAGCATCAGGTACTGAGCACATCTGACCATGCATGGCATACCATGCCATGTCATGCCACGTCAGTGAATGAAACCATCAACACCAAGCTTGTGTCGCCACGCCCACGGCCGCAGGGCCATACATACATGTTAACGATGATGACGTCAGCGACAGCGAGGGCAAAGAGCGAGCTCTGCTTTTCAAACGTGGTGTCGTCCTGTGCCACAGGTGCAGTGAGGGGAGGGGGAGGTGGGCGCGGAGGGGGGGGAGGAAGCAGAGGGAAACGGATCAGGCAGGGGGTGTGAACTGTTGTCCTGCCCGCAGGCAAAGAGTGGGGAGGGGGAAGGAGGGGGAGGTGAAAATGGGAAGAAAGTTGATGGGTGGACATGGGGTAGAGAAGGGGGGAAGGGGGGTGGGCAGAGGGAGGAAGGCGAGGGCAGGGAGCAGATTTGATGAGGGATGGAGCGGAGGGAAGGGGGGCATGATTTGGGCAATCAGGACTTGCCAATCAGGACTTGCCAATCAGGACTTGCCAATCAGGACTTGCCAATCAGGACTTGCCAATCAGGACTTGCCAATCAGGACTTGCCAATCAGGACTTGCCAATCAGGACTTGCCAATCAGGACTTGCCAATCAGGACTTGCCAATCAGGACTTGCCAATCAGGACTTGCCAATCAGGACTTGCCAATCAGGACTTGCCAATCAGGACTTGCCAATCAGGACTTGCCAATCAGGACTTGCCAATCAGGACTTGCCAATCAGGACTTGCCAATCAGGACTTGCCAATCAGGACTTGCCAATCAGGACTTGCCAATCAGGACTTGCCAATCAGGACTTGCCAATCAGGACTTGCCAATCAGGACTTGCCAATCAGGACTTGCCAATCAGGACTTGCCAATCAGGACTTGCCAATCAGGACTTGCCAATCAGGACTTGCCAATCAGGACTTGCCAATCAGGACTTGCCAATCAGGACTTGCCAATCAGGACTTGCCAATCAGGACTTGCCAATCAGGACTTGCCAATCAGGACTTGCCAATCAGGACTTGCCAATCAGGACTTGCCAATCAGGACTTGCCAATCAGGACTTGGCAATCAGGACTTGCCAATCCCCCGTACGCTGCCCACCTCGCTCGCCCCTGTCACAGCTGTCAGTCAGTGCCTGTGATGTCAAGCACGAAGGTGAACGGCTGAATACGTTGTGAATCCGCTCACAAGTCTCCGTGCTTCAACCGCACACTCACCTTGCCCCTCACCCTGCCCCCCTCACCCTCGCCACTGCCCTCTTCCCCATCCCCCCCCCACCTCGCCCCTGCTCTTTCCTCCCCCTGCCACTCACCTCGCCGCGCTCGCGGCTGTCAGTGCCCTCGATGTCCAGCACGAGGGTGAAGGGCCGAATGCCGCGCGCCTCCGCCACCCAGATGCCCTGCGTGGTCTGCCGCCTGCCCTTGAGCGCATCCATCTCATCGAAGGTCGTGTGGAAGAGGTGATTCAGCAGCGTGCTCTTGCCTGCCCAGCCCACACACGGGGTGGGGTGACACGCGGGTGGGTGAGTCACATGCCGGTGACACGGGGTTGGTTGACAGACAGGGTGGTAACAGAAAAGTAACACAACAAACTGAATGACGGTAGACAAGCGTTTGGCTCAAGTCCAGAGGGGCCTATCGTGTGCGTGTGATATGCCAGCACACGACGAGTGGCGCTATAGGGGATGAGGGGCTAAACGGTAAGCAGCAGCAAGAGGGCAGAGCCCATCCGCGCTTCACAATACCACATGAGCGCGCTGCAATGCATGGCTTCAAACTTTTCGTTTTCTTTCTCATTTCAGAATTCGTGTGAGGATTCTCAACAGCACTGTAAGGTGCAGGGCAGCATGCAGATGCGCCGCGCCATCCGCAAGACCAGGGGAACTGCGGTGAGATGCGGTTTCAAGGAGTGACGATGGGCGCTGAGGCACCAACAAGCCCATGACATGGCTGCGGAATTCACTGGGCCCACGGGTTCAAGGAGCTAGCGAGAGCTTTACGAGTGAAGCAAGAAGCAGGGGGCGAGCGGCAGGGGAGGCTTGGGACAAGCAAGGCGCGTACCGCTGCTGAGGCAAGGCGCGTACCGCTGCTCTGCGGTCCGACGATGGCGATGACGGCGTACGACAAGCCGCACTCCGTCATCCGCGTCGCACGCGCGAATCGCTCGAGCCCCTCGCGATCGAACTCGCCCGTCCCCGACACGAGCTGCATCCGCATCCCCGCCTCGCCGTCGCCATCGCCGTCGCTCCCCATCGCGAGACTCACTCCCTAAAAAAGCCGTCGTTTCTGGAAAGAGACGCCTAGTTTTAGGCGCCTCAAGAATAGAGCCCTTGCTCAATCGAGAGGCGACTTAGAATTCAGTATGGAAGCAAGAAACTGACTGAGAAGGAACACGGAGAATCTGCAGAGGGCCCTCCACGAATCAGATCAGCTTGCGGGTGCGCTAGCCATGCTGAAATCTGATGCTCGTGAAAGTGCTACGAGAAGATGATTTCCAATACCGTAGGGGTTGAAGGAGAAAGATGAGCAACTGCTTGTGGAAGGAAGGTGTGGTGTGGCGTGAAGCCGAAAGCGTGGGACCAGGGAGGAGGGAGGGAGGGGGGCGTGACTGACCGACAGTGATTGGCGTCAAGACAAAAGGAGCTCATTCCTCGATTTCGTCGTAACCCGTCCGCGATACAGACACGGACAGTTTCACAGACGGACTGAAATAGTTCCGTGCTATAAGGGAGCTGTTACTACAGGAGGCACACGACGGGACTACCTCAGGACATTTCGGAGTAGAGAAAACACGGAAGCAGCTGCAGCGGTATTACTACTGGCCCGAAATGCTGACCGACGTGCAACGACACATGGCATCGTGTCCCACCTGCCAAAACATGAAGTCATCACGAAAACGGCCGGCAGGGCAGTTGCAGTCAATCACCCCCATAGCATGCTTGGCAGCAGGTGACAATGGACTTCGTCACGGGGTTACCAGCTGGAGCAAGTGGGAACGACGCGATCCTGTTCGTCGTTGATCGGCTGACGAAAATGGTACATTTCGCAGCCTGCAAAAAATCAATCACAGCCGAAGAAACAGCCCGCCTCTTCATCTCCATCGTTGTTCGACTACGGGATACCAGCATCGATCATCAGCGATCGCGATACGAAGTTCACCAGC